TTAATTTAAAATAAACTTTGAGTTTTCAAGACAAATTGTTATTTATAGCAAATTAACTTTTTTCCCCCTAACATGAAAGAAGTCAGTTTCCAGCTCCTGGGGTGATTGGAAAAATGCTACAAAGAAGTGAGTGAACCTATAAATGTGACAAATTTAATTTTAGATTTACAGACTAAAATGAATTTTATAATCTAAAATTCTTTTCTAATTATTAACTTCATTTTAAAAAAAATCAAAACCACCCAGCTATCCCATGCCTCTCTTAATGCCCACTGCTTCTTTTAAAATTAAATTTATTGATTTACTTACATATATAGAGAGAAACATTAATTTGTTGGCCCACTTATTTATGGATTCATGGGTTGCTTCTTGTATGTGCCCGGACTGGGGATCAAACCTGCAACCTTGATGTATCAGGATGATGCTCTAACCACCTGAGCTTCCCAGGCAGGGTCCCCGCTGCTTCTAACAAATATGTAAGGTATTGTCATAAGCACATAGATAAATTGTGAACCGGGACAACCAGGAAGCAGAGTCGTAACAGCTGTGTTTTGAGAACAGTTTGTTAGCTCTCTGGATGTCAGAGCACAAATTAAATACTCCAGAATACTGTGAAAAGATAGGATGTGAATTTGGGGAAATATTTGGTTGAAACTTTTTTCATGATGAATCAGCCCTTGTCTCCTTAAGCCTGGTGCCACTTTGAGCACATTGTTGACTCTTTATTTGATAATATAACTCACGTTTTAGCCACCGATGACTATCCAGATCTGTAATTTTTCTTGTGGAAAGTATAAGAGAGAATCTAAAACCCGTGCTGAGCCCTCTCTCCCTTCCTCGGGAAACACTTCACCCTCTAGATTCAAACTCACCTCTAGGGATTTCAGAGCACAAATAAACAGATCTCTAGTCTCCCTTTGGACACCCTGAAATTGGAATGAAATATTAAAGAAAAAAGTCAACTCAGTAGAAAGGACAGTCTTCCTAATATGTGATACTGGAACAACTAGATATTTATATGCTAAAAAATGAACTTTAACCCATACTTTATGCTATATACAAAAATTGACTCAAAATGTAAGTATAAAATATAAAACCACAAAACTCTCAGAAGAAAACATAGAAGGAACTAATCACGACTTTGAGTTAGGCCAAAAATTCTTATGATACCAAAACGCATAAAAAATTATGAGTTTGACATCATCGAAATTAAAAACTTCTGTTCTGCCAAATTCATTGTTAAAAGAAAGAGAAGACAAGTCACATGCTGGAGGAAAGTATTTGCAGTGGACCTGTATCCAGAATATGTAAAAAACTCTCAAAACTCAAAAATAAGAAAACAATGAATCAATTAAAAAATAGGCAAAAGATTTAAACAGACACTTCACCACTGTATTAGGGCTCTCCTAGAAACAGAAACAATAGGATGTGTGTGTATGGAGAAGGGATTTAGTATAAGGAGTTGGCTCATGTGACTGTGAAGACCAACAAGACCCAAGATCTGCAGGGTGAGTAATGGTGTAGATCCAGCCTGATGGCTGGGGGGCTTGAGACCCAGGACAAGCATACATTTCAGTTGGAGTCTGAAAGCAGGAAAAGACAATGGCCCAGTTTGAAGGCAGTCAGGCTGGAGAAATTTACTCTTACTTGAGAAAGTCAGCTTTTTCATTCTATTCAGAACTTGAACTGGTTGGATGAGGCCCACCCATATCAGAGAGGGCTTACTCTTCCACTTTGATACTAATCTTATAAAAAAAAAAATACCCTTAAAGAAACACCCAGAATAATGTTTGACTGAAATATTTGGACACTCCTTGGCTCAGTCAGGTTGACACATAAAATTAACCAGTATAACCATATACAGATGGCAAATAAGCACATTACAAAGATACTTAACATCAGTAACCACTAAGTAAGTGCAAACTAAAATCAGTGAAATAGATTTATTAGAACAGGTAAAATAAAAAATACTGACAATACAAAGTGCTGACAAGAATGCATAACAACTGGAATTCTTTTACATTGCTAGTAGAAATGCAAAATAATACAGCCACTCAAAGTAACAGACTGGCAGTTTCTTATAAAGTTAAACACCCATCTATGAAATGACTCAGCAATCTTTCTTCTAGGTATTTACTATAAAGAAGTGAAAAGTTAAAATCACACAGAAACCTGAAAACAAGAGTCTACAGAAGGTTTACTCATAATAAGAAAACACTGGAAACAGCTCAAATGTCCTTCAGTGGGTAAATGCATAAATAAATTGTGGTATGTCCATACGATGGAATACTATTCAGCACTAAGAAGGAACAAATTATCGATACACTGAAAAGCAAGTTTAAATCCCAAATGCATTTTCTAAGTGAAAGAAGAGTCTCAAAAGATTACATACCATATGATTCCATTTTATGACATTCTGGAAACAGCAAAGCTAAAGGGACAGAGAATAGAGCAGTGATTGCCAGGGGCTAGAGTCTGTCAACGAAAGGGAAGCACAAGGAAATTCTTTGGGACTGTTGGAATTGTTCTCTATTTCATTTGTTGTGATTATTACAAAAATTTATGCATGTGTAAAAATTCATAGAATGATACAACCAAATAAGCAAATTCTGCATGGAAATATTTAAACATTTAAAAATCAACAAGTCAAAATTTGAAGCTGACCTGATAATATTCTTTTAATAAATTATATGTGTCACAGGAATGAAGCTTATTGTTTTGTTTTGTTTTGTAAAAAAAGCAGGTGTGCTGAATATTTACTATACAACACCATTTGTGTTTCCCTAAGTAAAGCACACTTTCTAATTATGGAAGTTTACAATAGGAAATTTATGGAAATCTGTGAGACCACAAAGAAATTCTCTTATCAACATATATCAAATATCTTGGAAGAAAAATAGTTCTTATAAGGCCAATTCTTTATTTGCTGAAGAAGTAGTTGGCCTCTTCTGTTAAAAGTTGTTCCTGGATTATATTTATTCGATAAGCCTCTTGGAATTCACCCTGATTTTGTCTCATGCAAAGCCAAGGGCTCTGTGTAAAAGTAAAAGTTGGTCTCGTAGAATGAGAACGGTCGATGAGGTGACAGCAACTCTCATTACTTATCAGAATATAATGCATCGTGTGTGTGTGTGTGTGTGTGTGTTTAGAATATCCTGTATTTAACTATTTGTTTATTTAATTTATTTTTAAAAAATATGTTTTTATTGATTTTTAGAGAGAGAGGAACGGAGAGGGATAGATAGAAACATCGATGAGAAAGAAACATCATCGATTGGCTGCCTCCTGCACGCCCCCTACTGGGGACTGAGCCCACAACCCAGACATGTGCCCTGACTGAGGACTGAACCAGTGACCTCTTGGTTCATGGGTTGACACTCAACCACAGAGCCATACCAGACAGGCACTATTTGTTTATTTTTTTGAATAGATAATACATTCATGTGATTCGACATTCTGTAGGTGCCAAGGCTGCTGTTTGTTAGCCAGAATACACCAGTGGGACACCAGTGATGCCCATTTTAATTGACTAGTGCCAAGAGCTATGCCGGTTATTAAATAAGTTCAGTATAAGCCCTGTAAGAATATCATGTGAAAAGTCTTCTTTTGTTTTGTGTCCTGGCCCCTTCTTTATTTTCTGTAATCTTCAATACAGAGGCAGAAGGGCTTTTGAACAGTGATCTGAAGAAGCTGTGAAAACGTGGGCATCTTAGTTACTTCTGAGCAGTGTACAGCAATGCAAAGCTGACAAATCTTATCCCAAATCTGTCCTTGGCATCTCTCTAGCTGTCCTTTGAAGATGCCTTGCTTCTAATCAAATCAGGCTTTTCCTGATGTACCGCCCACCTCTGTTGATCTAAACTCCTTTACAGACGACACACTTTGTCTCCAGCCTCTTCTGGCCAGCAGCTCCCTTAGTCTACTACATTCCAGCCACACTGACCTTCTTGCAGTACCTGGAGTTCTCAGAGCTCTTTCAACCACAGGGCCCTTGCTCTTCTGCATTCTCTCCACTTGACTGGCTCCTGCTCTTTCTTCTGCTTAAATGCCCACTCCCCGGTGAGGCTTTTCCTAATTCCTTTCCCCTCTGTTGATTTTTTATCCCAGCACCTTTGTTTCCTTCATAGCACTTATCATAACCTAATTATTTTATGTGTTGAATCTTAGCACCTGTTTTCCCTACTGGGTTGAAAGCTCCATGATGATAGGGACTGGGACAGATTTGTTCATTGGTGCATCCCCAGTACGTGGCGTGGTGTTGGACTTTTGTTAGTATCTTAATAAACAATAAATGAATGACTGAATTGAATGTAGGTGTGCCCCTCCCAAGGATGGTTCTGTATCCACAAGGGATTCCTGAAGAGATAAAAGCTTCCTTATCAAAGGAATGCAATTATGATAGCAGAAATAAAGGCATGGGGTTGATATTTCACATCGAGAGAGCTTCTTGTGTGACGCTTCCGTTAGTGAGTGCCATCTGATCTGCTAACCCAGAGGGCTGACAGGGCTCTTTTTGCCGAAGGTAAAGAACCCTGAACACAAAAGATTATTTCTTGGGGGCCCTTTGCATGGTTTGTACAGCCAGAGGAATCATTTTGAAGAGGTGAGCCACCCATTCAAGAAATATTTAGTTTCCAAAATTCTAGGTCCAGGACATAAAGAATGATTGCACAATTTGTCATTTATCAGATAGTCAAAGACATAGTCTTTCAGAATTGACACCTGGCCAGGTGTGGCTCAGCATTGAGCATCAACTTAGGATCCAGGAGGTCACAGTTTGATTCCCAGTCAGGGCACATGCCCGGGTTTCGGGTTCGATCCCCAGTAGGGGGCGTGCAGGAGGCAGCCGATCAATGACTCTCATCATTGATGTTTCTATCTCTCTTCCTCCCTCTCCCATCCTCTCTCTGAAATCAATAAAGATGTATTTTTTTAAAAAATTGTATAATGACTTCTGAGTTGATTCTGTTTTAAACAAAATTTTATTCTTTAATCCACAGGTCACAGTTTTTATCCACGTGAACATACATGGCTTTGTTACGAAAAAGTAAGATTACGACTTTTGAACATCATGATTACAAGATATTTTGGAGGGCTGTTGGGATGCGGGGGCTTGGCCTCTTTCCTTCTTTTCACTTCTGAAATCTGCCTGGATTATCATAGGTAGCTTTCCCACAGGCAGTTCTTGGCATCATCATTTCCCATGGACAGTTGTTAAGTATTTTGGTCAGAGTTGGACTTATTAAGAGAAGGGTCATACTTTTCTATAAAACTTGCAAATACTGTTTATTTTTGATCTAAATAAATATTCATGTTCCCATCTAATTTAGCACTTGTAATTTTGTATTCTTAAAGAGTTACCTCAAATTATATAATCTCAAACCCCATCAAAACCCATTTCTCCCCTGATTTTAGAGCCAGTAGTTTGTGAATCTAGGGGAAAACATAGTAACCTAATTGTGTTCCTGTTACCCTCAGGGTAGGGTTGCCTGAGGTAGCAGATGAAAAGTCAAGATATCCAGTTAGATTTGACTTGCAGATAAACTATGAATAATTTTTTAGTAAGTATATCCCAAATAATACATGGGACATACTTATGCTAAATATATATATATATTTTTATCTATCAACCTTACATCAGTAGTAACAGCCATGGTTGAAAGGGTCAGATGGTAGTCAGATGGGTCACTTCCCCAAACCGGCTGTGGCAGGCGAATGTTAATCAGATGGACTGATAACCTCTGGAACTTTGCCCCTTACCTTCTGCTCCTTTGTAGTTTTGTTTTAAACGGAGTAGTGGCTGGTTGTCTCTGGCCGAGTCTGACAGCCCAGAGGCCGAGAGGGGAGCCCGGGGACGTGGCCCTGGAGGGCCTCCTGGAGACCCGCCAGCTCCTTCCTGCTCCAGGAAGCAGCTCGGGGCCTTCTCAGCTTCATCAGCTGTTCCTTCTGCCCCATGCACAACTGTTTCCTTTAAATGGACTCATTTTAAAAATTATAAGTGTACTTTATAATGGGAAGTTTATATCCTTACTGTAAATAGAATCCCAGTTACCGCCTATCATAAAAAGAAAGATTGTACGACTGTATCTGATTAGAACAATGTTATTCGATTCTGGGCAGCGTTTGTTACCTGCTTACATGTGAAATTAGGGCTGATTTCTCACGCTATGACAGTGCGACTTCAGGCTATGAATGCAAACCTCCTCCACCATCTCCGGCACAGCCAGTGGTACGTGTTTCATACTTATGACAACACTGTTCTGCATCACTCCACTTCCCAGCAGATCCCACGGGCGAGTGTCGCTGTCCTGGGACAGATGCTCCTGGAGGCTCAGAACTGAAAGACGTGTGTGG